CCTAGAGTAGGCTGCAGGGATGGCTGGCTGCTTGTTTGCTGATGTTAAGGTTAGTCCAGGGTGGTTGTGGTGGGGGAGGTGTGCTGGTCGGTGGAGGCGGCAGGGGGGTTGCGGTGATAGACTGTAGTGGTGGTGGCAGTGGTGGGGGGCAGGAAAGCTGATAAGGAAGTACAGTCGGCCCTCATGTACCGGACCAAGGCAGGGAGGGCTGGCTGTACTGCCTTGTGACTCCTGTGGATCCTCCTGCAGTGCTGCCGGCTTTCTCCCCTCCGACTACTCTGCAGGGGGATCGGATCTACATAATTGCAAACTGTGCAGACTTTGTTGCAGCGGAGACAGTGGGCGGCAGAGTTTTTGCTTTTGCCGGGTCCTGAAACTCCCCCTCTGATGTGTCATCTTGTGTACCAGTCCGGTTGGAGCAGAGGATCCCGGCAGCTGTATTAAGCTTCCACCCAGCAGGGTGCATGACAGCAGTCCGGACGCTGTCCAGTGATCCTCTCCCCTGTGTGGGCAAGTAAAACTATTGTAGGTTTTTATTAAAGCCCTTTTTACTGGGTACACTGCACAATGGTCTTGCACTGTCTCTCCTCCCTCATGGTTTTTGTTTAGATACATATGGATTTCCTCCTCCTGATTTGGCTTATACTTAGTTTAACCTCCCTAGCGGCCTGATTATGACCATATTTCTGTGCTCAAGGAGGTACATTTTTTTGCATGGAAATATGTATTTTTTTTTATTGTAGGCCTGTAATTTTTTAGGAATACCTCACTGAAATCTGTCCGAAAAAGAGTCTAGTAAACATCCCCAGTATGTTACAATTTGAAACACGAAATCATAAATTATAATTTAATAAATAATCATAAAAAATAATAATATAATAATAATAAATTTAATTCAGTAATATAATCAAACCAAAAACACTGAAATTTTAAATATAGCACCAAGTTCGCACATCACTGAGCAAAGTCGCAAAATCGTTTTCAGTGTCTGATGACGAATTTCCCCACGAATCATTATCACTCAATTCTGCAAGTAGTTCTGATTTACTATCGCTGTTCTCTAGCTGATCTAAAACTGCTTTTGACCTAAAGGGACGCTTTTTGGACGCCATGGACGTTTCTCAGTTTCCAGGCAGAAAGAACAGTAAAAATGCAGGCAGGGCACAGGACAAAGCACTAGGGACAAAATGTATGTGAAATGGTTTATACAGTAATGTTTTACTATGCGATTTTAGTGTATTTAGTGAATGTCCCTTTTTGTCATTTTCAAATTTCCCACCGTTCCGTCCCCCGTACGTCCCGACGCTTGCAGGGGACGGAACCCAGATGACAGATGCCGGCGTCTGCCAGAGGACATTGCTGGGGACACTGCAGGAAGGACATCGCGGGAGCGCAGGACAAAGTAAGTGATCGAGGGATCCCGGAGCAGCACCGCATGGTAAGCCCAAGTGTAGCTCGGGGTTACCACTTGTGGTACTGAAACTTTACCCCGAGCTACACTCGAGAATACCGCCAGGGGGGTTAAGGGCTACCCACTCTGTTATAGTTTATTGCATGGTTCATTGATTTTCCCTTAGGCCCCTTTCACATGTGGCAGACCGGTCAGCATGGTCTTGCAACGTACAATTGCCATTTGGCAAAAAAAAAAAAGTGGGGTGGGGGGTGCCTGATTTGACTGTTGCCTACGGCAGCACATGAACTAAATACACCACTGAGGGTGCCATTGTCTAGTCTGTAGAGGTCTGTGCGTCCCTCCATGGCTATGCCTCCCCGGATTATTACTGACCCACCACCAAAACGGTCATGCTGATTGATGTTACAGGCAGCATAACGTTCTCCACAGCTTCTCCAGACACTTTCACGTCTGTCACATGTGCTCAGGGTTAACTTGCTCTCATCTGTGAAAAGCACAGGGTGCCAGTGGTGGACCTGCCAGTTCTGGTGTTCAATGGCAAATGCCAATACAGCTCTATGGTGCTGGGCAGTGAGCACAGGGCCAATAGAGGACTAGTGACCCTCATGCCACCCTCATGAAGTCTGTTTCTAATGGTTTGGTCAGAGACATTCTCACCAGTGGCCTGCTGGAGGTCATTTTGTAGGGCTCTGGTAGTGCTCTTCCTGTTCCTCCTTTCATAAAGGAGCAGATACCAGCCCTACAGATGGGTTAAGGACCTTCTACGGCCCTGCCCTCCTAGAGTAACTGCCTATCTCCTGGAATCTCCTCCATGCTCTTGAGACTGTGCTGGGAGACACAGAAAACCTTCTGGCAATGGCACGTATTGATGTGTCATCCTGGAGGAGCTGGACTGCCTGTGCAACCTCTGTAGGGTCCAGGTATCACCTCATGCTACCATTAGTGACACTGACCCTAGCCAAATGCAAAACCATTGAAAAACAGAAAAGAATAGTAGTGAACAAATTTAATTGGCCTCCACCTGTAAAACCATTCCTGTTTTGGGGGTTGTCTCATTGTTGCCCATCTAGTTCACCTGTTGTTAATTTCATTAACCCCAAAGCAGCTGAAACTGATTAACAACCCCCTCTGCTACTTAACTGACCAGATCAATATCCTAGGAGTTTAATTGACTTGATGCTATACTCTGATTAAAAAAATTTTTTGAGCAGTGTATATTTCAAAATGTTGGAAAATATCTATAAGCTTCGACTAACTGACCATAGCCACTTTTTTTTTCTTTTTTATTCACATATGCACTGAACTCAAGTTTATGTAGAGGTTTGGAGTGAAAATATACACATTTTAAAGCCTACTACTGCATCTCAATATTGGCTCATAAAAATGCATACAATTTGCAAACAGCATTATAATGAGTATATGTGGGCCACTTGGCATATCACCTTGTTGTTTTGTCTCCCAAGGGCCTAGGTTAGCTTAAATTGCCATTTGCTACTTACAGAATGTAAACAAGCAGAGACAATGAGATGAACACATTATTGCCTCAAGGGAGGCAGGTCTGGGAGTATCATATGTGCAGAATGGTCCGGAGAGCACATCTGGGGGAAATTTCAGCATGGGGTGTTAGATCAGGCATAACACAATTTACTAAGGCACTATGTTGCTCATTACACGGGTATCCGACAAGGCATACCAGGCATTATGTATTGCACCAAGTTTTAATAACTTCGTAAAAAGTTGGTTGGATGCTGTTTCAGTACAAATGACTAGAAAAGAATGAAGACAAACACAATTTGTTTAAAGCATTCTTCCCCAAAAATATTCATATATTGTATTCATCATACAAATAAACAGATGTGATTCAAAAGCTTTGTGTAGCAACATATAAAACACCATGATTTAATATTTTTTCTTGTCACACAAAATGAGTGGCTTCTCATTAAATCATCTTTTAAAATGCTAACCGGTAAATAATTTATGCATTTTAGAACACATAATGAATCCTTTTATTGTAAAGTGAAAATGCCACCTAACTCTGTCAGTTTTGCTACATGCCTAAAGCTGGCCATACCCCTGGCAATTTTGAGTCAACCACAACCACTTAAGATCCATTGGGAATCGAATATGTGATCAAAAGAGGTTGCCTGAAATCAAGCAATCTACCATTCACAAGTCCAACAAATCACCTGCATTTGATCAAACTGGTCTATAAATGTACAACTCAAATACCGGTTATGTAAAAATCCAGAAAAAAAACTATGTTGATTTTGTCAAGGGCAATTTCATTTTTACAAAGGGTCTGATCAAGGCATTTTGATCCAATTTCCACATGGTATGTCAAAACCACTAACTTCTGTGTTTGATCAATTGGAACCTTGATTCAACTGATAGTGGTTAAAATTGGGGGGGAAAGCTGTCATGTACATAGCCAACTTTTGGGTTGCCATAAACAGCTCAGGCTTTACCTAGCTCAATGGTCTGATATAACATCTTGGAAAGGGTTAGGGATATTCAAGGGTGTGATAGCAAACAAGGGCAACCTTTGAAAGCATTAATTAATGCATACAGAGATGTTATACCTTGTTGGTAATGTCAATGTAATGTGCAAATTTCCCTTCTTGTTGAGCAATGGAAAGCAAATAACTAATAGCTAATGCACTCCTTTGGTGCATTTGATACAACTTGATGTATTTTATTCCTGGGTGAATTTTGAAATTTGGCCATGTATGTCTACTTCCAAAAACAGAGATACATTTAGATTGACATTAATATTGGATGTTGATTCTTTTGAAAAATATTTCTTTACACCACATACAGTATATGTGACGGGCCTGTTTTATGCTGTTTTGTTTCTCAGACCTATATAACATATACCTAAAGCAGGACTTGCTTGGTATTGGAAGGTTTCTCCTCTATTGTCACATTGATCTTTAACTAAGGGGTGGTCACTAGGGATAGTGATTCACTGTATGTTTCCAGACTTTGCCTTGCATTTGAGAGTAAAGTGGGTAAGAGCAAGTGAAGTAACTGTTCAGTTTCCATCAACTCCACTGATGGAAACTGTGATTACTTCTAGTTTCTAATTTAAAAAATAACATTATTAAATTAATTAAATATAAAGGCCTTATGTAGCATTAAAAAAGAATATTTAAACAATTAAAAAATAAATAGTTCTTAGAACATCTGCATATATTTTATGTTAAAGTTTTGTGAAACTGCACCTTATTATAAAAATTTGTGAACTCTTTCCTTTAATTTGTTTCCCCCATAAACACATTATTATGGAGTGTACTGCATATGTAATTAAGAACCTTATCCAAGTGGAGGTTTCATCTGTCTCTACAAGTGGGTGACATTTTTTCAAAATGCTCAAACACAAAAATAACTTCTATTGGTACAGGAGATAAAATGTTTAAATACTGAAAACATTCATAAGTCTTCTCTGGCATTTAAAATTTTAGAGTTCATAGACAGGTATGAAAAACTCATATTTCTATCATTAAGTCCCAATATAAAAGGCTGAGTTTTGACATGAGGACTGTTTTATCCTGAGCCATAATGACCCATTGAAGACTACTTATTGTCCTTATTCTGCTTTCTTCACTTTTCTTTTGCGAGTTCCTTCATTCAGTTCTTCTTTGGATTTTCCTGCTGAATGGGACACCTCATGATCATCATGGTGGTGATGGTGGTGGTCATCATGTTCCTCATGCACACCATCAGGAGAGCCAAAAAGAACAAGGCAGAGGCCATTTTCTACTGGAGCAAAGGGTGATCCATGGGAGTGGGTGGCAGTCATGAATATCTAGAAAAGCAAATCATAGCAGTTATTTGAAACTTTTCTAGATATTTTATGATGAAAATGTACACTTTTCTATTGCAGTGCACGTGACAATGGCATTAAATGGTGAGCTGGATTTTGATGAATAGGGGCTATACATTCATTTTCATTCTAAACGATAGAAATACATATGTCCTTTTAAAAATGATCCTATTAACCTATATACGAGAGAACTGCATAAGTTGGTTGATAGGGGCTTTAAACAAGGAATTCTGAACAATAAAGAAAAAGAATATTTGATTCCAATTGCTCCTAGGATTCCAGTGCTACTTTATTTGCCAAAAGTTCATAAAGACCCTGTTCATCCATTCGGTTGTCCAATTGTGAGTGGGATTAATTCCACTGACAATTAATTATTTACAGCCCCTTGTTAGTGGGATGCCCTCCTTTTTTGAAGTACTCTAGTAAATCTTCCACATAGGCTTATTAGTTTCTCCCTAATGCTCAAAATTAACATTTCTAAACTACAGTATATTGAATCTGCCATGGTTCATACCTTGCAAGCTGCCATGAACAATGTAAAGAAGAAGATGAGGTTGGCTTTGGAAACAGGTAACCAGTGGGCCTGCTGCAGAGTAAACAGGATAGCGCCATACAAACTGGCCTTGGTTGGGCTTCAGGAAAAAAAGACAAAAGACATTTCATAAGAAACAGTAATCCAAAGTCCAGGATTTGATTTATAAAGAATACCCAAAATCCCATGTATTTGCAATAGTTTTTATATATTATATTTGTTATTATTTATTATATATCCAATGTGTAAATTACTAGTTACAGCAGATTTGTATACTACCAATCAAAAAGAAAACATGTGTAGTGCCCCTCTAGATAGCCAGGGAGAGCAAGATGCTAATTTTTAGTTAGAAACATTGACTAGACGCCTGGAAAAATAGTCAGCAGGGTCAAATTTGAGTCAGGGCTGAGAGGCTCTGCAGATCAGCTTACTGATACCTCCCCTTTATCTAGAGACTTGGAGAAGTCTCTAGAACTCAGTGGGCACAATTGTGGAGGAGCTGGTCTGCACTTTTGAGGGCTCCTGGCCAATCCCCAGACAGTAGGCTTGGCATGGGGTCAGAACAGCCCTTAAGAGTGACTGAGCCTGCTCAGAAGCAGGAGAGTTCGGGTGGAAGATGTAAGAGCAGGAGGCGAGTGTGGAACCTGGGGGCCCAGTGTGAAGGGGCCTGCCTCTAGGTGGGATCTGGACAAGTGAAAAGCTGAACCTCACTGGCCCCCTGTGAGAGGACCATCTGTGGAGCTAAGGAAGGAGCAAGCACAGCAGAAGGCCTGAAGGCAGCTACCAACTTACAGCTTGCAAAAGAGGAACAGTGAATACTTCTACATCCCCTGGACCGGAGAGAAGTTAGAGGGAATTTGGGTGGGAAACCTGACTAGCCCCTGCTGGACTGTGCCCTTAGGGCAGCAGATACGGGATCCCTTTGTCCAGAGAAAGCCCTCAGATTGCTGGATAGAGAAGGACTATCTGGGGTTTGGGGTGGTACACCAGGAGAGGCTGGAGAACTCTTCAGGAAGAAATCCTTTTTGCTATAAAAGGGACTTGCACATAGTTGCTAAGAAGTTGTCCTCAGTTGCAGTTCCCTTGGGCATCCCACACACCCCTTAGCCTCATCCAAGTTAAATACCCCTAATAAAACTTAAAAAAACTATCTATAGGACAGTTTACTGTCTCCAGAATGCAAGCTGGTGAAAAATGCGTGTTGCCTGGCTGTGCAAGACCATAGCAGGACCCAGTCTTCAGGGGTAGAAGGGGGTAGTGCTTCACACAAATACAAGCATGCCAAAGAATGAAATAATGATTAAGTGTATACTGTATCAAAACACTCCTTTATTGTCACCAAAGTGCTATCTCCTCCTCTTTCCATAGGGATCCCCAGAGGCTCTGTCTTTGGACCCCTTCTATTTTATATCCACTCCTCTTCTCATGTGCAGCTGATGACTTCCCATGGTTTCCATTACCTTTATGCTAATGACACCCAACCTCGTCTTACATAAATGCCCAAACTGCCCTCTACTCCCTGAAACTCAACCTGTCAGTCGCAGGCTGCTGAAAGGTAGATCCCATCCCCTCAGCTGACAAATGCAGAGAAAGGCAGGGAAGCAGCTGGAATAGTATTGTCTGTGGCGCTGTTCCCTGATGGCCCCGCCACCCCTCCTGTCCATGCCAGGTGCTTGTATGTGACATCATCTGGGATGGACAGGAGGGGAGGAGGGGCCAGCGGGGAACAGTGCGCCACTAGAGGACTGAGAACAACTCCCTCTGCATAAGAAGGAAGCCGGTACAGTAGTGTGCATGCTGTTGAGAGCGTGAGCCAGCTGCTCCCGCCCCCTTTCCTGCCCAGCGCTGCAGTAAAAACTGGAGGGGCAGAGCAAAAAACGATGACTGACAGTCACCTCTCTCTGCTGAGAGCAAACTGAGAACTGAGCAATTAGTGGTCATATGATCGCTCAGTTCTCGGCCTTAGAGCCAACGGGGAACAGTTGCAACATCAGACTAATACTGCAGCATTGATGTGAGTATGTACAGTATGATTTTTTTTTGCATTCCGATAATTCTCCTTTAAGCCTTTCCTAAAACTTTGTCTCTGCAGAGATGAAATTGGCGTACAGTTAGTAGTACACTCACAAGGACATGTGAAGAATTTCATTGGTCTCAGGCTTCCAAACGCCCCGTAAAAGCTGTTCCAGATTAGACATCAGTGCAAAACTCCAGAACCTACAGGAAAATAGGAAAGGCTAATCAATAATCTGTACAGGTAATCAAATGAGAACATAGCTATGTTCTTACTAGACGCCCACCGTTCTGTTTTATAACTATGGTTTGTAGATTATGAAGTGTTACCAATTTTAAAGGAAAAGTACAGCCAAAGTTCGTTTGGTTGTACTTCTGTGGTTCACAGGAGTGCAGTTCGTTCTGCACGTCTGCAATCCCTTTTCAGCCGACAGCAGACAATGGTGACTGGCAGTCACTGCTCTCTGCACACTGAGCACTGAGAACTGAGCGATCATCAGTTTTTGATCACCCAGTTCTCATTCTTAGAACCCGCGGGGACAAATACAGTATCAGATCAATGCTGCGTCCACCTAGGTAAGTATGATTTCTACAAAAAAACAAAACTCTAATACAAGCACTCTTTTACATGGTCTATAAAATAAATAGCTTGTATCTGATCTTATTTTTTTTTTACTTATTTTATTTATTAGAGATACTTAAATAGCACCATTTACGCAGCGCTTTACACATATACTGTATATTATACATTCATATCAGTCCCTGCCCTCAAGGATGTTTACAATCTAAGGTCCCTAACTCACATTCATACATACACATACAAGGGCCAATTTAGACAGGAGCCAATTAACCTACTGGCATGTTTTTGGAGTGTGGGAGGAAACCGGAGTACCCAGAGGAAACCCATGCAGGCACAGGGAGAACATGCAAACTCCAGACAGGTAGCATCATGGTTGGGATTCAAGCCAACAACCCTAGTGCTGTTAGGTGGAAGTGCTAACCACTTAGCCACTGTGCTGTCCTATATACTGTAGATGTGTATGGATTATTTTTGGGGAAAAGGATATTATTTAGTGTCACTGTAAGAGCTGAGCATGAAGATCTAAAAGGAAAAAAACAAGCTACATGCCATTTTTACTATCAGATTGATTTTCATTATTACATATACAATACATACTATCTGACAGCTGCAGTTCTAGTATAGCAAAATATTAGATACGGATTCATGTATCAGCCTCTTGCGTAGACCTAAACTGCATTTTTTTCTTTTAACTCTGCTAGTGTGATACTGCACCCTATAGAAATAAATAGCCTGTGTCTCATGAAACACCGTTAACAGTTTTTGAAGATATGCATGAAAATTGGTTATGGAGCCAAAATTAATTATCTAGTTAAGAGGGCCTCTAGTGGTGCAAGGAAAAATAACAGTTTCATAAGTTTTGACACATCAAAGCAGGGCTGCTGTTAGAAACCATGAGGCCCCATACAGCCAATGTGACTGGGCCCCCTAAAAAAAAAAGAAAACACAGAGTTTACTATGCTTCAGTTATGAATGAACATAATGAGTGATCGGTACCGATCATTGCGTTCATTCAGTAAAGGAAGGGGCTGGTAAATGTGACATATTTACCAGACCCTTCCCTCAGTCTCCATCCTGAAGGATCCTATTGCATGACTGCAGTTGCCGGAGGGAAGAGGAGGGAATCCAGCAGCACTGCAGGGGAGGGGGCATACAGGGGGGCCCAGGCCGCAGAGGGAAACAAATGGTACACAGGGAGGGTGATGGGTGAGGTGGGGGGGATTACTGAAACTGATCCCCTGTATGGCTCTCTCTGCAGCAGCTGAAAGCCAGCAGGAGGGTGAGAAGATGCCAGCTTTCAACTGCAGCAGAGAAGCATACAGAGGATTGGTTCAGTAATTGCCCCCCTCCCCCAGCTGTGCCGATCACCCTCCCTACCTAAAAATTTGATTCACCCAGCTGCCTGGGCCCCCCTGCTGGCCTGGGCCCCATACAGGAGGACTGATGGTGCCTCCTTATCCACTCCCCTGCATCAAAGTATATATATATAGGTGTACCGTGGTTTACGAACGCCTCAGTTAACGTAAATTTCGGTTTACGAATGAAAATCCATTGAAAGTAATGCCTCGGTTTATGAATTATTTACAAATATTTTTCACAATACGAAGTGTATGTCGGTGCCGATTTTTAAATGCAATTTCCGGCTTTTTTTTTTTCTTCACTATAGCTCACAGAATTAGCTGTTACTTTCCCCAGAGCTAAAGGATACTTTGTTTCTTTTATCTTGGGAAACAAACTAAAAGGAAACATTGTTTCTTTTAACTCGGGAAATAAACTAAAAGGAAACGTTCTTTCTTTTAGCTGGGGGGAAAGCGACAGATGATTCTCTGAGCTATAGTGAAGAAAAAAAAAAGGAAGTAATTACATTTAAAAACCGACACTGACCTATAGTGACAGCGACTTTTTTTTTTACCTCTGGAACAGATTAATTGGTTTTCAATGCATTCCTATGGGAAATGGCATTTCGGTTTACAAATTTTTCGCAATACGAAACGTCCTGGAGAACGCATTACATTCGTAAACTGAGGTACACCTGTATTAAAAAAAAAGCTTTTGACTTTTCAGTCAAGATGTACTGTTATGCCCAGCACATATTTTGTTCCATAAAATCTAAGAAGTGGATTTCTACAACTAAAAAAATTTTTTGCTAGAGTTGGACTTTAAAAAGAAGCTTTAAAGACTAGTGCACCACAATTTAACAACTGTGTAGGAGTCCCCGTGTTGTGTTTTACACCCCTGGTTTGCTGGGATGTGACTTTGACATTTTTGTCACTTAGAGAATGACTAGTCTTCTCACATTATAGCACCTGAATAACATCTTGCATTCCTTCAAATATACAACTATACATGTACATTTGTTAGTCTGGCCTTGATACAAGAATCAGAATTAGCTTTCACCAAGACTCTTTTAGTTACTTATTAGCTCACCTTTCACCCATCCAATGAGTACCATGATAACCCATCCATGGTGGTAATGGTGGTGGGCATGGTGGATTCCAATGGCGATTTTGCGTACTCGGACTACCTCTTTCATCCCAACAAGGACTAGTTTAATAGGCAGGAAGCTAACTATCTTGTAGAACAGGCTCAGTGGACAGAAAAACATCAAGTACCTACAGTAAAGAAAAATGGCAAGTTAGTTAATAAGTCAGTAACACAACATGTACAGGGGTACCTTGAGAACAGGCCAAAGACATAAGACCAGAAACTATGACCAAAAATAAATAAAACTGCAGTTTCATAAGACCGGAATTAGGCATCGACAGGGCATCCCAAAAAATGCTCCATAAGCCATCTGTTGGCCCAAATGTCAATATAAATGACTGCAGCTGTCTTTGGTAACAAATGGGAAGTGAACAGGTGGGATAATAAGATTCTAAAGAAACTAAAATGGAAGAGCCACTATACTTGTCTTGCCATGGGAACATAAATAGAAAGAACTGAACCTATCTGGAAATAGAGTGCTATTGTTTTGCTGGGCAATACTGAAAAACTAATACTGTACAGTAAATTCTCATATGTATATGGAATATGTTGGATAAGGCAGAGCTTTTCGTACAGTAACTATAAATGCTATTTTTTTTTAATTAAAGTAACAAACATTTTATAATGGTTTTGCACAGAAAAGCCCCGATCCTCTTCTGGGGTCCTTTGCCGGTGCTTCTGGCTCTCCCCCCCCCTCCCGCTGAGTGTTCCCATAGCAAGCCGCTTCCTATGGGGGCACTTGTGTGGACTCAATCCGAAGCCCCGCTCTGTGTGTCCATTGTACCACTCCCCCTGATATCTCCTCACTGGCAGTGATTGACAGCAGTGGTCACCAATGGCACTCAGCCAGTGGAGAGGCAGAGAGCCAAAAGAGCCTGTGCTCTTGTGCAGAGAGCTGGAGCATGATTGGGCTCAGGTAAGTATAGGGGGGGGGGGCTGCATGCAGAAGGTTTTTTTTACCTTAATGCGGAGAATGCATTAAAATAAAAGCCCTTCTGCCTTTGGAACCACTTTAATGCTTTAGCCATCTTGAATTTACTTTATAGTCTTTGTAAACCCCCTTCTGGTTCACTCTATGTGGAAAGCTCTGCTTTTTTTCTGAAAGTGGAAAACCCCTTAAAGCATAATTCTAGGAGAAGACACATACAATATACCTGTACATATGAGTACATTCAGTCCTGAAATTTACACAGTTCTGGCCCATAGCACAACTCCATCTATGAGAGGAGGGGACCTGAGAGGGGCCATGTATAGGATCGTGAAAAGCCATGGGCACCCAAAGAAGAGCAATTATGAAAATGGTGGGTGTGGTCAAATTGTGCAAACTGTGGGAGGGGTTTAAAGTGGTATGGTTAAATAAAACATGAGCCTACTCTGCTCCTGGATCAAGATTAAACAATGCAGTGCAGGGTTTGGGGTTGCGTAATGCACAGAGAGCAGGGGTCAAGAGTATGCAATGTACAGAGTTCAGGTATCAGGAGTGCGTAACGCACAGAAAGTGAAACTTTTAGGACCTTAACCCCTTTGCGCTGGTGCCTCCTGGCCCTTTAAGAGTTTCAGAAGCCAGGAGGCGGGTGGGGTTTTAGGATCATGTGACCGCCGTGATTCGCCATCACGGCGGTCACATGATCGGAAAAAAGTTCCCGATCACAAGGGGAGATTGGGACCTTTCTGTGAGTCACGGACATATGTACTGGGAGCGCGCATTGTGCATGCTCTCAGCACATATGTATTTTCTAATGGCACGCAAATATGCAGCCGCTCGGCGACACGGCCTAGCCACGGAGAGGCCACATATTTGCGTGCGCTCAGCGTCTAGGGGTTAATATTCTGTTTTAATACAACCCTGATTGATCAGACTGACAACCTTATTGATGAGCCTGAGCTTATTTCTGCTTTTGCAGCCTTATTGTGGTACCACTTACTCTTTTATTTGTTACATGTTTCATTCACATCACTTCATTCACTCAGCCTCAGGAGAGGAGATGGAAAGCAGCACATGTGGTTCGATCCATGCATGCTGCATCCTGTATCCTGTCCAGAGGCTGCCTGGTCAGCCTGGCTACCACACTCCACTCTTTGCAGTGGTAGCTCCATCTAGGGATCCTGGATGCTTCCTCCTCCTAGCTGTAGATGCAACAGTGACTGTAATGCAAGAGATCATCTACACACTGTGAGTTGCCACTTATTGTTTGCTGTTTTCACCTCTGCACCTTGCTACACTTTGCTGCACTTAGCTTGGCGTCCCCTTCCTGTCTGTCCGAGCTATTGCAGGTGCCATCAAGACCATATCCAGTGTATCCATTGTGACAGTTTACTTGGTGTCCTTCCTGGCAGGGAATCCTTTTGAGAACCATAAAAAGCATAATTTGTCTTACTTTATGTGAGTTGCTAACTGTCTTCCATTAATAAATGTTTACACACCCACTACACTTAGTCTGCACACTTTGTTCTTTTTGTCTGTTTGCCACCTAGAGATTTCTTCAGTCTCTCACAAGTGATGCGCTAAAGTGGTTGTAAACCTCAGACATGAAATATGAACAAACCATATCCCACTATAGTGTATACTTTCTCAATTAAGGGCCCTAAGTGTCATTTCTGTCTGTTGCTTCCTTCCTCTGCTATCTGCATGAATCACTTCTGACAACTGTTCCTGACACCGAGAGAAAAATAGTGACAGGGAAGGGAGCTCCAGTAGAAGGGTGTGTCTCTTCCCTCCAATCAGCTCTCAGAGCGCTCTTCAATGAGCGCTGCAGAGTGTAACTTCAGCTGTCCGCCCCCTTTTTTCTGAACTCTCAGAAAACCGGACAAATTCAGCATTTTGAATGGCTGTAGAGAAGGGAAGACTGCAGATAAACAGGTGCAATTTATGTAGGAGGATTTGTTTAATCTCTGTGTATAACCTGAGGCCAGTCACTTCAATGAGTATATGTAAGGGTTTACAACCACTTTAAGTGTGCTGGATTGGATTCTTCAGCGTTCCAAAAGCCATAGGATTTGCACCGCACTGTGCTTTCCATCAATGTAGTTTGTCTCAGCCCAGGTTGCACCCATCGCGCCATACTGACAATTTTTTAAACTGTGCTCATTCCTTGGCTATATTTCTTTTTCACAAAATTACATGGGATGAGTTAATGTGAGAGACAATACATAGTAGTATACCCTCTACTATGTCACCTTGCTCAAACAGATTTACCATCTTCCTTTATATGTAGTTCTTTAACTGTGGGTATATGACAATTTTTTTCTTTCCATTTATCTTTTAGACTAAGTGAATGCTCCAAGGAAAGCAGGACCACAATCTGTATACTGCCATCTCCAAGCTGGAGTGTCGGTTGGTTTCACCAAGCCTAACTGCTTTGCATACTTCCTTTAAATCTTGATAATCCCATATATGTGCATGAACAGAAGCATACATTTACATGGTATGTTCCAGGTAGAGATATGATGTTATTAAAGGCATAGCATAGTACTGTCATACTGTCATCATGCTACCAAAACAGATATTGTTCAAAAGGTCAGTGGTTAATATCTTGAAGCTTTCAATATTCTAACCGTTCATGCTATTTTTATATACACAACAGATAAAGAATCAGCATTATAATTTACAATGCAATGAGCTTACCAAACAGCTGAAGCCAGAAGTATATTGGAATTATTACTGAAGTAGTGGATGGGTGAATCACCAAGTAAGACATCTGCAAGAATGTAGCTGCCAAAGCAGTAGAGCATCGCACATATCCAGGAGGCTACTGGACTACGTCTTGAAAGAGCCACAGCACCTTCACAAGAGAAAAGACAATGGAGGAAATGTAAAACTTGATCTACAAATCACTGAGTATCTATATGAGACTACATAGCCATTGTCAGTATGCAACATTTTCAATTACATTTGTAGCAAAATGACCATTTTGTACAAGTGCTATGTTAATATAATATTATTTTTTAGGATGATGGTCACCTATTGGGCCTTTGTCAATGGGCTCTTATAAGCTTCAGTAGGGTTTTTTATTCCCATACAATCTATGGGAATGCAAAACCCGCTTGAAGCAGGTCAAATGCAGGTTAGAAGGAGGTCAGATGTATTTGTCAATTAAAGTGGTTGTAAACCCTTACATATACCCAGTGAAGTTATTGCCTCAGGTGATACACAGAGTACCTGTTTATTTAAAGATGTCTTTTTCCCTACATCCATTCAAAGTGCAGAATTTACACAGGATTTCTCAGCTCTGAAAAACAGGGGGCGGAGAGCTGAAGTTATGTCAATGAGGAGAGTTCGGAGAGCTATTAGAGGGAAGGGACATACCCCCCTTCACACAGCACACAGGGACAGAATTGAGGCTGTCAATCTGTTGGAGCTCCCTCCCCTGTCACCATTTTTCTCTTGGTGTCCAGAAAACGTGCCAGAAGTGACTCATGCTTATAGCAGAGGAACGAGGCAGTGGACAAAAATTACACTTAGTGCTCTGGATTGAGACAAGTACACACTGTAGAGGGATATGCTTTGTTCATATTTCATGTCTGAGGTTTACAACCACTTTACGTTTAAATGAGCTTAAGTGTCTCAATCTGATGTCAAACTGATGCCATTGACACAAGCTCAAAGCCTGTCTACACAGGCCCTAAGTGTGCCACCCAAGTGATTGGAGACTTTTTCTTCTGCAGTGCTATCTGCACCACATATAAAATAATTAAATACACTCTAATTATTGTGAGTGATTAATTCCTTTTGGTTTTATATTTAGAAATGAAGGATGTGAATAATAAAACAAAGGCAGTTTGCAGCCCAGTAAAGTTTTTTCAGCATAGGTAAAGGGTTGTCCAAATTTGCAGGCCTGAATATTTACATTGTCCAATACATTAACTGCCTTAAGGATCCCTCATATACTGTAGCTTAACTTGGCTTGGCAGCAGAAGTGTTAATAAATAACTGTGTGAGTTAGATGTTGCTATGGGAAGATGGAATGGGAGGGCGGACAGCTGATCCTTCAGTATAGGGTCTAATTATAGGCAATAGGTCAGAAGAGGGGCAAAGGCTGAGGGACACCTGTCAAAGTCCTTCATAGTTGTTAGGTGAGAAGTGCGCTGGACCAAACAGATCAATGATAAAAAAACATGAAAATCTGAGCTAAAGGAATTGTTTTGTACACTTTTAGAAAACATTATACTGGACAAAAAGACCCTCTTGATATTAGTTAGAAATAAAGCCCTTATTTCCTTTTATATTGTACCTTGTATTTATGGGAATGGAATGTATTCAGGGCCTCCTGAATTATAATAGGGGCCATGCTCGTACTAACTCAAGTTCCAGGGTCTCTACAGGGCTCCATTCAAAACCAGTGACTGATTTATGGCTTTTAGAAGTAGGATAGCTTGCTTGATATACTTGATGTAATTATGATCCAGGGAGAAACAATATTTTTTTTGCATTATCATAGTAATAATTTTCATATTTAAAGAAAATTGTGACATTTTTGAAGGTCAGAAGATACAATTAACTTATAGACGAATCTTAAATACTGCCCTAGGTCCATGATGGTTTTAGTTTGGCACTGACACTGAGCTAACCAAAGGTGGTCTTTTGGAGTGTTGATCTCACAAGAAAGGTTGTCTTGGATGTCTTGGAAAGTGTTCATACTGCTTTCATCTGGCCAGTCAAGCTACCCCAAATTATATTTTGTTAAGGTTAGTTTAAACTTCAACTATGGACCACTAAAAATGGATAAAAAGAAAAGGTATAACTTGAGTTCTGTCCCAAATAGGCCTCTAATGGACCAAACCTTTTTTACGGCAGACTTTTTCAGCCAGGGTGCCCAGGCAACCTGGGTTACCTTCAGATTTCTCCATGCCTTGGCAAAATTTCTAAAAATTGCCCAAAAATTGTATATTAGCTAGCAGGAGGACCAAGCCTGCTTTTTAGTTACACAAAGCCACAGGTTTTCATTGTGCACCATTACGACCCTCTAGTCACTGGTGTCCTAAAAATCCATTATGTTATCAGTTAATAAGGAGAATGTTGGGCACAGAATCCTTGTTTGCCTCTCCCCTGTCCCTCTTCGTTAGCACTGGGGTCACATTAGCTGAGTGAGGGAGAGAAACTGAGGGAGAAGAGAAACATTGGAATACTAGTCAGTACCAGTGTGCAAAGGCATCTTTGCTTTGCACCCCCCAGTGATGGGTGTCCTTTGTGTGTGAATATTGCTGCATTATGTAAAACTATTGGTTTAATTTTTACATTATGGAATGGGGTGACTGTCAGTCACCACTGTCTGCTCTGAAACCCCCCACCCACGCTCACTGGAGCAATGGGCTGTGGAGGGGGAGGGAGCAACTGGCTCAGGCTCTCAGTGACTTGCTGAGAGGCTGAGCCAGGTGCCGCTCCAGAATCTTTGGTGGATTCCAACTTTAACCACCTACCACCCGCCATATAGTAATATGATGGATGCAAGGTGGTTCTCTCATTCTGGGAGGACGTCATATGATGTCCTCCCATTCTCACCGCGCATGCGCGGTTCAGGGAGCACGCAGCGTGGCGATTGGTGGTGCGCTGTGTCCCTCGGACACAGTGGATCACCGATCACGGAAAGAGCCGAAGATGTTGGCTCAGTCATGTGATCAGCTGTGTAAACAGGGAAATGCTGGTTATCGGCATTTCTCTCCTCTCGAGCTGTCACGCTGACAGCTCGTGAGGAGAGGAGAGCCGGTAATCGGCATTCTGCGGAGGGGACATGTACACTGATGATCAGGGCACTGATGATCAGTGTGCCCTGATGATCAGTGTAGCCCCAGCAGTGCCACCTGTCAGTGTCCATCAGTGCCTTGTGTCAGTGCTCATCAGTGCCTCGAGCCAGTGCCCATCAGTGCCACATTAATGCCACATATCAGTGCCATACCTGCACAGCTGCCACATTCAGTGCCCATCTGAGCTGCATCTATCATGTCCAATCAGTGCCATCTATCAGTGCTGCCAATCAGTGCCACCTATCAGTGCCAGTCAGTTCCACCTATCAGTGCCAGTTAGTGCCACCTATCAGTGTGCATCAGTGCCGCCCATCAGTGCCAGTCAGTGCCGCCTAACAGTGCCAGTCAGTGCCGCCTAACAGTGCCACCTAACAGTGCCGCCTAACAGTGCCATGTATCAGTGCTGCCTTTCAGTGCCCATCAGTAAGGCCTGTCAATGCCCATCAGTGCCACCTACCAGTGCCTCCTCATCAGTGCCCATCAGTGCCACCTATCAGTGTTCATCAGTGCAGCCTATCAGTGTCCATCACTGCAGCCTCATTAGTGCACATCAGTGAAGGAGAAAAATCACTTATTTACAAAATTTTATAACAAAAACTAAGAAAAAACTTTTTTTTTCCAAAATTTTCAGTGGTTTTTGGTTTGTTTAAGAAAAAATAAAAAACCCAGAGGTGATTAAATACCACCAAAAGAAAGCTCTATCTGTCTCAAAAAAATGACAAAAATGTTATATGGGTACAGTGCAGCATGACTGCGTAATTGTCATTCAAAGTGTGACAGCGCTGAAAGCTGGAAATTGGCCTGGGCAGGAAGGGGGTAGAAGTGCCCTGTAGGCTAGTTGTTAAAGCTGGGATCTTTCCCCAGCCTGGACCTTCAGCCCCACTGAAAACAGGTCCCAGGAGTGCAGAACGAACTGCACTCTTGTGATCCACAGAAGTACAGCCAAAAGAGCTTTGGCTGTACTTCTCCTTTAAGAAAATCCATGGCTTTCCACAAAACATGTTCACACAGTATGTTACTTTGCCGTGACTTGAGGAAAATGTGTGCATGTATGTATGTATGTGAAAATGTGTGTCTGTATTTTGAATGTATTTACCTGGATTTTGCCATTTAAGTCAATTCAAATGGCATCTTTTATAAATTTTACGCAAAGCATCCAAAATACAGGGAGCAATAACCATTTATTTTAGTGCAAAGAGCCTTTATTATCAATGTAAGCACAAAGGATTACATTGTATTTTATACTGTGTACCACTTTTTGTGTTGTAAATTGTCATTATTACACCCACTGCTACTCTACTACTACAGTATACTCTGTAACAACTCATGTAACCTTGTTGTGGTCAAAGCCTCTCATGGCTGTTTAACATTAGGGTGTCTAAGAATCTATTTAAGTAAATATATACAGTTACCAGGAATAAACAGTGTACATAAAGTGCATATGCCAAGTGTCAAATTGTACTGTACTAGGCCAATCACTTCCTACATAAATGATACCTGTAGCTGCGATTTATATAGAACCCAAACTCATAGATGCAAAGTCTAATTCATGTAAAACTCTCTCTAGCATGATTTCTTTTATATTATTTAAAGACCAAACTAAGAATACCTAAAGCTGAACTCTAGGTAAGGATTCTATTGCACAGTTACATTGTTCAACCTTTAACCAATGTAAGTATATGGCCTGATGCAGGGGCGGACTGACAACTCATGGGGCCACCGGGAAATAGGGGATCATGGGGCCCCTGTATCCTAGCTCAAACTCAAACCACACCCAAAAAAGCCTATGAAAAAGGTACCAGGGGCATCTCATGGGGCCCCCTACTGACCCCGGGCCCTCAGGCACTGCCCGAGTTCCCAAATGGTCAGTCCGCCCCTGGCCTGATGCACACTGGACGCTCTTAACCAACTTTCCAGATGCCTTTCTCCTGGCAGCATTTAGCCACATTCAGCCGCATCAAACACTTTGGCCATTGAAAGTAATGAATGCTGAAGTGCTTAACGCGCATTTAGACGCGTTTACATTTTTTGCCACGTCAAG